CATCCGCCAGTGCCCCCGCACTGCACAGATCTTTAGGCTTCCGGTCCACTAACCACATCTGAAGGTCTGGAGGGCAGATGTCATACAGCTGCTCCAACCCCACCAGGTTACACACGGCCTCTGCGGTAATGGCTGCTGTGCCCTTCCCCCATTTGCGGAGATATTCCCCCAGCAGGCTGGCGACCTCCTTGTAGGTGATGCCTGAGGTCTTACGTACACCCCAGAATCATTTCCTGTATGCCTCGGGGGTCAGTTCAAACTTCAGCAGCAAAGCCTGTTTAAACAGGTCATAGTCCCCTGTCTCAATACCATCCATTTGGCTGAATGCCTCTATGGCCTTGGGACCCAGCAGGGGGATTTGACAGCGGAGCCTGTCTGTGGGGATCTGGTGCAGATCACAGGCCTTCTCAAAGGCTGTGAGGTAGGCATCAATATCCCCTCCCCCCTTAAACTGGGCAGCAGTTTGGTGAATAGATTCCCCACAGAACTGGTGTCTTGGGGCCCTTCCCCACTTACCCCCTGGCAGGCCCTCTTGGCCTACCTCTCCTCCAACTCCAACTCGTGCTTTTGCTGTTCTGCATGGCCCGCCAGCCTCCGCTCCTCCAGCTCCACCTCCTTCGCTTTCAGCTCAAGCCTCTGTAGCTCTTCCAGGGAGAAACCTGACTGAGGAGTTGAGTCTGATAGACTCCTGGCTGCTATGCTGCCCCCATGGCTACTCCCCGCCTCTACGGGCATCCTGGGATCCCCCTGGGATCTGGAGCCTGTTCCTCAGACTGGTCATTCTCTACAAGCTGAGCCATCAGCAGCTCCTTAGTGAGCCTCTCCACTCTCAGCCCTCTCTGCACAGATGTGCCAGGTCCCTCTTTCGGAGCTGGTTAGACGTCATTTCCGCGCTGGTTCCTTCAATTCCCTCGTTTTATCGCTGGCAGGCACTCACTGCAAAGTGCCTGCGCTTGCAGCCGACTGTCTACAGGGTGCATCCACAAACCATCCTCTGCTACCACATTGTCACGGACTTACAGGACATGCCCACTCTTGGCCCATATGGTCCCTGGGGGGAACCCTCTTCAGTGTGACAGCCCTTCTCAACATTCCAATTAGGTGTGTGCATGCCACGTGCACGGCCGTCAGAAAGTTTTACCCTAGCAACACCCGGCGGGTCAGCTGTGGAGCCCTCTGGAGCGGCGCCTTCATGGCGCTCGATATATACCCCAGCCGACCTGGTGCCTCCCCAGTTCCTTCTTGCCAGCTACTCTGACAGAGGGGAAGGGGGGCAGGTTTGGAATGGACATGAGCAACACATCTCAAAGAACAACAGTTATAAAGGTCAGTAACCCTTTTTTCTTCGAGTGCTTGCTCATATCGATTCCAATTAGGTGACTCCCAAGCCTTACCTAGGGGGTGGGGTCGGAGTTAAGTAACGTGGACTGCAGTACCACTCTACCAAACACCACGGCGTCTCTGGCGTACCGGAAGATGGCGTAGCACGAAGCGAAAGTATGCACCGAGGACCAAGTCGCTGTTCTGCAGATCTCCTGGATCGGCACCTGGGTCAGGAATGCCGCAGATGAGGCCTGGGCCCTCGTGGAGTGAGCGGTGACGGCCGCGGTCGGTACACCGGCCAGCTCATGGCAAGCATGGATGCAGGATGTGATCCATAAAGAGATCCGCTGAGAGGAGACCAGGAGGCCTTTCGTCCGGTCCGCCACTGCAACAAAAAGCTGTGTTGATTTCCTGAACAGCTTTGTGCGCTTGATATAGAAGGCAAGGGCCCTAGGGACATTGAGGGAGTGCAGCCTCTGTTCCTGGGGACCGGCGTGCGATTCGGGTCAAAAATTGGCAGGAAAATGTCCTGGCTGGTATGGAAGGCCGACACCACCTTGGGAAGAAAGGCCTGGTGAGGACAAAGTTGCACCTTATCCTTATGGAAGACCGTGTAAGGCAGTTCTGAGGTGAGGGCTCAGAGACACACCTCGCTGACGTGATAGCGACAAGGAAAGCTGTCTTCCAAGAGAGATAAAGGAGGGAGCATGAGGCCAGCGGCTCAAACAAGGTCCCCCATGAGTACCGGCTGCCAGACCTGAAAGTAGAGGCGGTTTAAGCCCTTGAGAAAATGACCAACCATTAGATGGCGAAGACAGAGTGGCCAGACACACCCGGTTGAAAGGCCGAGATGGTCATGAGGTGAACCCTCACAGAGGACGCCACCAGGCCTTGCTGCTTCAGGTCCAGGACGTACTCCAAAATGAGAGGCACTGGTGTCTGGAGAGGGGGTGTGTGGCGCTGGTAGCACCAACACGAAAACCGCTTCCACTTCATCAGATTCATGGCTCGAGTGGAGGGCTTCCTGCTCCCCATCAGTACTTATTGTACAGATTCCGAACACAGAAGCTCCAAAGGGTTCAGCCACACAGCATCGACCCTGTAGCTGTTCCTGGAAGGCCTGAAAGGCAAGGCGCACCACCATCAGCTCCCAGACGTTGATATGAAAGGAGAGCGTGGATGGAGGCCACAGGCACCGCATCTGAAGGTCTCCGAGGTGGGCACCCCATACCAGGGCTGATGCATCCATGACCCGAGACAAGGAGGGCTGCAGACTGTGAAAAGGGACTCCTTCGCACACCACCCGGGGATCTAGCGATCACCGGAGGGAGGCCAGAACCCGCTCCGGGACGGTGACCACTAAGTTCAGACCGTCATGACTGGGGCGATAGACCGAAGCGAGCCAGGCTTGCAACAGGCGGAGTCGGAGCCTGGCATGCCTGGTCACGTATGTACAGGAAGCCATGTGGCCGAGAAGACTCAGGCAACTTCTTGCCGACGAGGTTGGGAAGCTCTGAAGGCTCCAGATGAGGCCCATGATAGCTTGGAAACGAGCATCTGGCAGGAGGGCTTGCACCTGAACGGAGTCCTGAACCGCCACAACGAATTCTATTATCTGGGTTGGTTCTAGGGTCGATTTTGCTCCAGTAACTCCCCACTTAACGTCCTCTCACTTAACATTGTTTCCATCTTATGTCCCTGCTCCATTACAGAACATGCTCATTTAAAGTTGAGCAATGTTCCCCTATAACGTCGTTTGACCACCTGCTTTGTCCACAGCTGGCAGCCCCCCCTACTCGCCCCACACCCAGCGCCTCCCGCCCGCCGGCAGACTCCGCGGATCAGCGCCTTCCCCCTGCTCTCCCTGCTTCCTGCCCGCGGCAATCAGCCGTGTCCTCACTCCCCCCCCCAGTCTCTTGAACGCCGCAAACTGCAGGAGGCCGAGGGCTAAGAGCTGCTTTAAATGAAAGTCTCACTCCTTTTAGTCCGAGGATGAAACCCTCTACAGATCCTGCACTTCTCAGCTTGATGAGCCTCCCCCAGACACTTCAGGCAGGGGTCATGGGGGTCGCCCGTTGGCATGGGCTTAGAGCAGGAACTGCAGGGCTTGAATTCCGGAGCTTTGGGCATAAGCCTGAGAAAAAGAATCGGGGAGGAGGGGAAAGCCCCCGAACCCAACTAACACGAAGTAAAAACCAAACTATAACTAACAACTATTAACTATTACGCTAGGGAGAGTGGAGAGTAAGCGAAGCAAGAATCCACAGTTCCAACGACCATCATGGGCGGTAAGAAGGAACTGAGAGGCGCCAGGTCAGCTGGGGTATATACTGAGCGCCATGAAGGCGCCGCTCCAGAGGGCTCCACAGCCAACCCACCGGGTCTTGCTAGGGTAAAACTTTCTGACGGCCGTGCACGCGGCACATGCACACCTAATTGGAATCGATATGAGCAAGCACTCGAAGAACTGCACCTCTCTGAGCCTTTAGCACACCTGTCTCTCGCCATGGGCCCCCTCAGGAAGTCTACTCACTCTGGACCCCCAGAGCCTCCACACCCAGAGGGAATAATGCAACCCTGATCTCTAGACCAGAACGACTCTCAGTCTGCGTAAAACAGGAGGGTTTATTGAGCATCTGAACACAGCATAGGAAACTCTCTGGGCCCTCAAGCCTGGCTGCCCTCAGCACAGTACATCTGAGTCTCCCCTGCATCCAGGTGGGCTCTGCCTGCTCTCTCTCTCCAGTCCAGAGACCGCGGCATCTGATATCACCTGCCCCCAAGCCCCACCTCTGTCCTTTGTCTTCTATCCAGGTAAACAGGGTCACCTGGGACTCCTCTCAGCCGTCCTTTGTTCCCCACTGGCTGGAACCAGCTGATCAGGTCACCAGGGTCTACTCTTTCTACAGCCCATTCCTCCCACTGGCCAGAACTGGCTGTGACTCCTGAACTGGGCCTCCCGGTCACCAGTCGCTGGGGTATCCATTCTCTCAGGCTTTGGCCAGGGTGCCAAGTTGTTGCTGGTCCTCTAACAACAAATTCCCTCTCCCATCACCTTGTTAAACCAGTAACACCCAGGGAAACTGAGTTCCACCCCCTTTGAAACCATTGAAAAAAAAAATAAAGAAAATCCCCCACTTTGTTACACCTAACCCACAGGATTTCCTGTTATTCCAACCTGAACCCCCACCTCTCATAGCACCATCATATGGTGCTCCCCCATCACTCTAACCCTGGGGCTCTCAGAGACTGAAAACCACCATGTGACTAAATGGGGGACTAAGATGAGACCCACTGAATTAGTTTCTCAAGGGCCTGAGTGAGGATCTAAGCATGGCTTGCTAGAGATGAGCACCCAGCCCCCAAATTCCTCTGCTACCAATGCCAACCAAACCCCAGGAGCCCTCGCCCCCAGCTCTCGTCTTGGCAGAGCCAGCCTCTTGTCCCGTGCTCTAGCAGACATCTAGACTAAAGAGGCAGCCAAACTTAAACAGAAGGCTCATCAGTGGCTCAGAGAAACACACAGCTTGAAAACTTCTGCCACACATTAGGATGGGACTTGGACTTACTGGTGATGTAGGGATCAGAGCAGATAAGTGAAACAAAATGAAATGGAAGGGTGACCCTCCACACGAGACCTGGGCTTTGGGTGATCTACAAACTAAAGTGAGAGGCACTCTTTGAAATAATTGTTTATTGATACTGAAATTCCCGTATGTTTATTTCTCAGTTGACAAAACCTTCTTGTGTGGCTCTTTAAAAAAAGTCATCACATATGCACACTCCTCAATTTGGTAGCTGCCTCCCAGGGAAGTATACAAGCTGGAATGGCATGGTCTTGTGGGGCTGGTTCTCAAGGAAAGCTTTTCCAGATTAAGTGCTCCCCACCCCTACCCTCCAAAAAAGCCCATCAGCACAGAGGAGGGGAAAAGGAGAGGGGAAACCAACATTTTAATCAAAGGGAGGGGAAAAAACAGAAGGAAGAATTGTCAAGAGCCCCACCATAAAACAGATTTGCAATCTGACAAAGAATCAATGCACAGATGATTCATCCAAGCAGCAGTGAACGCACAGGTCCCACCCAGTTCAGAGGCTGCGTTACAATTTAAATCACTGCAAAAGAAATTGGAGAAAAAACAAAGTAGCAATAACACAAATGAAATTAAACCCCTCTAGGACTCCCACAGAAAGACTAGGGTTGATGTATGTCCATGGACTAGTCTCAAAGCTCTGTGGCCCCAGGCTTTTCAGTCAATAATTCATGGTAGGCAACTGCAGCAAGAGAGTGGTATTAAGCACTTACTTTGTAGCTAAACAGGCTTATCTAATGATCATAGCAAATTCCCAACTCAGGAATTCATCTTAGTCAGTTCTTGCCAGATAATCGGGGCCAGAGGGGAAAGGGTTAATATAGCAAAGGGATTAAGAAAAATTTCCTGCTCCTCAGAGCAGTAAGAAAACTAACTTTGAAAGGGAAAAAGGAAGTTGCAGGGTACTTTTAACAACCACCACCACAAAAGTAAAAGAGAGAAAGTACTGTATCACTTGCTGAGTTTGCTCTCTGGGATGCTGTGAGGGTCATCTAGTGGTCTAGCACACAGGCTTCAAAATCGGAACCTGACCAACCATGTACATGGCAAATCCTGAGGCCGGATGACACCAATGCCTCTGCCCAGACAGTGCCACAGCCACTACTGAGGCGTACACAGTCAGCTAGCTCCAGTGGTGGCTACTGGCAGAGGCGGCCAGCGTAAGGCCTCTCTGGACAGAACAGTCCATGTTCTGTGCTGAAGAGACATGTGAGTCCACCCCCCTCGGTGGTTGATGCCCAGCCCTGATTAGTGTCTTTGAGGAACCTCACATCACCATAGAAAAAAGCGAATGAGAACCAGAGCCCCAGCTAGGAGAGAGAGCCCTTCCAAGGAGCCAGCATTGGCTAACAGTTACCACCCAGAGACAGTCTAGAGACACGGCATCCGCCAACTGTGGCTATTAAATGCTGGAATGAGGTAGCCCTCTCCCCTCGAGGTTGCTGGAGGGGTCCCCCTGCTCCCTGCAGACAGCATCACTGGGGAGCAGAGAGGAGTGAGAGAAGATATGAGGGATCACTCTGACACACAGAGATGGGGAAGGGGAGGTGGTGTGTTCACAGGTCACAGCTGAGGGGAGGCGTCCTCAAAGGTGATGAGACTGGACTCCTGGCTGGCTCCTTTCCCTGCAGCACTGGCATCCCAGCTACTTTGGCTCTTCTCAGGGAGCAGCGGGCTGTCCGCCTTGGCACTTCCCTCATCCTCATTGTCCTCCATGCTGGGCCACGCTGACTGGTCCTCCACGCGTTTCAACCGCTCATTCAGTGCCTTCAGGGCGAGTTGTCTGCAGGACAAGGATGGACAGGGTTAGTGCAGGATCAGCTTCAGACACTCCCAGGGAGACAGGAAAAAGTACGTGTTACAGCATGCTGGGCACTTCATGGGTATTTGGGGGGGTGGGGGGAGATCTCCCAATGCTTCTATTGACCATCTGTCCAGCCCAAATCACCACTAGGGTGGGAGCAAAAGAACTCCAATACAATAGCCCTGCTCAGATTCCCCCCCCCACTCTCCTTTCTGCATTTCTGCCCCACTTCCTCTGGTTCAGTCTCTGAGTGGCTACTGTTCCCCACACACCTCCTGCTGGCTCATAACTCTCTCCACCAAACCTGCATGCAAGCTCTCCATCCCTCTCGCTTCAGGTGTATCTCCCGTTTATTCTGGCTGCTACTTCTCCCAGTCTGTGACGGGTTTACGGTTTAGTCCAGCCCCATCTGCTCATCACCCCATGGCAGAGCACCCTCAGCAGCAGCAAAGAGTTAAGGATGTGTCTCTGCACCTCCTCCACACGAGGCAGTAGGGTTTTTGTGTCAGTTTCACTTGGCTGCTCTTGCGTGGGAGATGCTATGGGCAGTAGTGAATGCACCAACACAGTCCTCCTTAGTGGGTATGCCTTGCAGGGGAATTTCACAGTGCAGAGGCCTACGTGCCAGGGAAATGCAGAGCTCCTGCAGTTACTCCCCAGATCTAGCCACCAATAAGCACAGACCCTCCTGTGGCTATGTCTTGGATAGCCTTGCTAAGATCTGAACAGATCAGGATCTCCTGAAAGGTAGCAACCCACCAGGTTAGGCCATCAACACGAAGAACCACATTTGGTAAAAACACCGCTGAATGGGATTTGGGAGGTTCTCCCAAGGAAGAGAATCTTTCAGGATCTTGGCTTCAGTCAGGACAGCATCTGAACCAAGACCCTCTTCCTGCTGCCCTCCCCAAGTATGGTCAGTTGCACTTATGGGTATATCCCTTGCGAATGCAGCATTGATATGAGACCCATGAGATTGGCAGAGACCACCTTTTACTATATGTCTGAATGCTCCTACAGGGCCCTGATCCTAACTGAGACTTGTAGGCACTATTGATTAGTAATAAATACTAATAGGGACTGGGCAGCGATTCTGTGATCCAGTTTAGGCAATAGAAGGATTTCAGCCAGTCTGAACACAGAAGAGAGAACATTCTCCTCCCACACACTACACTGAAATCTTCAGAGACAAAGGACAAAGATTTCAAACACTGGCCTCTGAATTAGGGCCCCTAGGTCCTCACTGGGAGCTCACAGTGGCTCCTAAGATGTGTATTTGGACAATCTGACTGGTTGGAGAGTCAACCCCTTCCTCCCTGGTCCTTCCACCTAACTCCTGCCCCCAAACGGACACTGCTGGAGTCCTAGAAGGCAGCACGACCAAACTGCAGCTTCCCTTCATTATTAGTATGATGTCATTTGAAATATGGTGCTGGCAGAGAAGCAGACAAGGTAAGAGAAGCAGCTTATCGAATGCCTCAGCTTATCGAATGTAGCGTTAGATCACTCAGGAGCACTGTTCAGTGCCACCGTTACTCTTCTGCTGATAACATTATCCCCCCCTCCCCTGGGATTAATGTCAGCTCATCAGCTGAGGTCAAGCCCCCACCCTTCTGAAGGGAAATTCTGAAGAGCGTGGGAGTGTGTGTAGAATATATGCATGCCAGGAGATTACATTTGGTGCAGGCCCGGGGGCATCCTGTGCCCCCATCTGCCCTGTGTTAACCAATGTCCACCCCCTCCTGGGAGAATCTTCCCTAGGCTGCTCCTACACAAACTGCTTCCCCCAAGCATGCTGGCAGGAAATGCAACTGTCATTATGCAAGTATGCATCCGATGAAGTGAGCTGTAGCTCACGAAAGCTTATGCTCAAATAAATTGGTTAGTCTCTAAGGTGCCACAAGTATTCCTTTTCTTTTTGTGGAGTGAAACTGGCATCATCCTTATCAGTTTTACTCCTGCTGCCACTGGGGTAGGAGGGACACAGGCTTCATCCTGAGGCATAGGGAGGTAAGAGACTGAAGAGGAAGAGAGAAAGAAAGGAGGTGGAGGAGACTGACAGGTCAGAGGGTGCAGCACACATTGGCCAGTGGTTTCTTGTTCTTTGGGCCAGAAGAGGCTGGGAGAGCTCTTGACACAGTGCAATCATTGCCTAGGGGTGGGAAGTGCCATTTCAGGCAACGCTCTCCCATCTAGCTGCCCCCAGCTGGGAGAAAGGGTCTTTGAAGGGGAAGGAGTAAAGGTAGCCTAGGAGATACCACTGCTGGATAAATATAAAATTACAGATTAGAGATAGTTTAAATCTGATTAATGAAATATATCCATGTTGTAAAGAGACCCTGACTAGCAAGTAGAAGGAATACCTTGAAACAATGAGTCATAAGGCCAGAGGGAATGAAGTGTGGAAGACGTCTGGTTCAAAGACTAACTGATGAGATAAGGGGACGTTTCTAAAAAGGCGGCCTCTGACCCATACAGGTCATAACGGATGATTTTAAATAAAATGAACAGAATCGGTCTTAAAATGAGCCAACATGGCCCTTCCCACTCCCCACACCAGTGTGAAAGCTTATGTGAGCCCCGGTGCATTGAAAAACTGTTAGTCCGCAAGAAGGAGGGGAGGCAAAGCCTTGAGGATTGTAAATATTATCTGGATTAAGATTGGAAATAAGGATGAAGTATCTCCAACTGGTTTTTAGCTAAGGTCAGTAACTGGCAATGACATCACTTGTTTGTTGAAGGGCAGCAAAAGTAAACTCTTAAAAGGTTCATTGCTAGCATCTGCCTGACTATGTTGGAGCAGACCAATATGGGTCTAAGCACTCTTGGGTTTAGCCCATTGAGTGTAAATATCTTGATCAAATGCTTATGTGTTGTTACTGTATTGGGTGTAGTAAATTGCTTATTATTTAGGCTTGTTAGGCATGTTCAAAGCAATTGTATAAACACCATTTGGCCTTTGGATTTAATAAAGGAATTTATGGTCTAACTAGCATTGTAATAATACCTTGCGCAAAAATTAATAATTCCAACACCACCCACAAAAACAAGAAGGGAGTGGTGAGACAGTAGCAGAGAAGCAAGAAGAGAGGGAAAGGCAGAAACAAGGACCCAAGACAAAGGCCTGTTAAACAGAGAAACCCATCTCTAGAGGTTTCAGAGGAACAGCCGTGTTAGTCTGTATTCGCAAAAAGAAAAGGAGTACTTGTGGCACCTTAGAGACTAACCAATTTATTTGAGCATGAGCTTTCGTGAGCTACAGCTAGAGCTGTCTTTTCCCACCCCATGTATCCAAGGTAATTTAACCCTCATTGCAGCAGGAAGCCAGACCAGAGAAGTTAAGATATATGAAGCCAAACGGGTGCTTTATCTATTCTACATTAAAACAAGGACATTTGTTTTCCAAGTCAGTAATGGATTACAATGCAACCCTCACTGCAAGCCCCTTGCAGAGAGTCTGCTCTGAATCTGCACTGGCCATTGACTCACACTTGCTGTGCCACATTATCTAGGAGCGCTCACTGTCTACTGGGAAATTATGCTGCATGGTGCAAGATGCAGCACGAGACACATTCCAGCTCTGAGTCATTTCTGTTCACTGCCCAGCCACAGTCCAAGAGCCTGACAAATTTACTTATTGGCTAGAAGGAGGGGAGGAAACAATTGTCTCATCCCTAGAGGCAAGTTCCCTCCAGGACATGGCTGAGGTATACTGACAAGGTAACTGGGGCTGGGGAGTTTGCACTGCTGCTGCTCATCAGATCCCCATTTCTGTGGGTCGAGTCTCCTGGGCTCTCAAGTTGGCTGCTTTCTCCAGTGCTAAAGTTGCTTTAAAACGTAACCTGGTGTATGTATCCAAAGGGAACAACTCCACATGAGTGCCTGGGACAAGGACGGACTAGATCAGGGATTGGCAAACTTTTTGGCCCAAGGGCCACATCTGGGTATGGAAATTGTATGGCGGGCCATGAATGCTCTTGAAATTGGGGGTTGGGAGGGGGTGAGATCTCTGGCTGGGGTGCAGGCTCTGGAGTGGGGCCAGAAATGAGTTCAGGGTGCGGGAGAGGGCTCTGAGCTGGTGCAGAGGGTTGGGGTGTGGGGGGAGAGGGATCTGGCTGCAGGTGCAGGCTATGGAGTGGGGCTGGGGATGAGGGGTTGGGGGTGCAGGAGGTTGTTCCAGGCTGGGATGGAGCGGTTTGGAGGGAGGGAGAGGGATCAGGGGTGGGGAAGGGGGTTGGGGCGCAGGAGGGGGATCGGGGTGTAGGCTCTGGGTGGCACTTACCTCAAGCAGCTCCCAGAAGCAGCGGCATGTCCCCTCTGCAGCTCCTACATGGAGGTGCAGCCAGGCAACTCTGCACGCTGCCCTGTCCCCAGGCGCCATCCCTGCAGCTCCCAATTGGCCACAGTTCCCGGCCAATGGGAGCTATGGGGGCAGCGCTTGGGGTGGGGGCAGCGTGCGGAGCCCCCTGGCTACTCCTACGTGTAGGAGCCGGAAGGAGGACATGCCGCTGCTTCTGGGAGCCGCGCGGAGTGGCGCAAGCCCCCGACCCCACTCCCCAGCTGGAGTGCCGGGGGGGGGGGGGAAGCCCCAGGCCCTGCTGCCCAGCAGGAGCTCGAGGGCCGGATTAAAATGTCTGAGGGCTAGATGTGGCCCCCGGGCCATAGTTTGCCCATCCCTGGACTGGACAGAATTTAGCAGGTCTGCGGTAACTGCATGAGACTCAGTGCAACACCAACATGAGCCACAGGCCTAAGCCTGTTCCAGATCCCACCGTACCTCACCATCTTAATAGGACCCACCTGAGATTTCCTCCTCAGCTCATACGCAAAGACGCCACCGAATGAGAGAGAGTACTTGGAACCTGGGTCGGCTGGAGGAAGAGGAAGCACTTGAACCAGCAACATGCGCCATTGTTATTGCTCTCCCAGAGCTGGTTTAGTGGAAAGCAAACTGTCCCACCTTCTCTGAGGCAGGGCAG